ACTGGAGACACTGACCGATATATATATATATATATATATATATATATATATATACATGGCTTACAGCTAGTGATCATTCTAATTTTGCGAGTGTATGGATTTGCTCCGCCCGTGCATTCCAGTCAGGTTGTGTCAAAATCTAGGAACGAGTAACTGTGTGGGATGAATGCTAAAAAGAGGAAGGACTTGTGGCAAGGAACTAAGTGCAAGAAGTCATTCCTTCATGCTAGATAGACAATACTTTGACTGAGATTGCAAATGGGCAGAGTATCAAATCATCCGGTGTTTTCATTGACTCACACTTGTCTCGTGATTGCTTTGTCAGACTTTCACTCTAAATCGGTTTTTGCACTCACTTTTCTAACCTATACCATAAACGACTGCACTAATGAAATAGGCCTCTGTGGAGAATTCCCGTTCGACCGCACGACTCTACACAACACCTGTAACAAGATGCTCCTGCAAACCCGGACATACCCCAAACCTTGATTGGCTGAGCAATCAGTTGGTAACATTATCGACTGCGCTGAAAAACATCTGTATCACGCCTCACTTTTCCAATAGTCTGAGCGTTTTCTCCGATTTTATTATGTACACTGCCTTGCTAATGATTCTAGTTACTCACGTAACATAGATGGGGCGTTTTATTGCAAACGAATCGTCATCAGCCTAGGTTACATCAGGCAACGCTGCGCTCCGCCTCACAATGATGCTCTGATCATATCAGCTCGAATGGTGATGGGGCGTCTGCAAGCAAACCGCCTTGCCCATAGGACAAACCTGCGGTCATATGTGAGGCTTTTTTCAGCCCCTACTAGGTTGTTGTCTAATCCTTTAGCATTGGCATTGTATTCTTCTACATGTAACAGTCAAAACACGTAGTGCCGTGTACAAACATCATTCCAAGGTAACGAATAACATTTCCAGTAGTCTGTTGGTCTCATCCCATGCGCATATCCGGTTTTCGCCCGGCCTTTCTCAGTAGTAAACTGGTATTTTATTGTCAGCAGACTCTGGAAGCCCTGGACAATGGAAAACCTGTCTCATCGGCCCTCGGTTTTGTAAACTTTTCGGTGGGTATCCTGCGTTATTATGCCCGATACGCCGACAAAATCCACGGGAAAAACCTACCTGTTGATGGCAATACGATCGCCTTAACAAGACAAGAACCTGCCGGGGTGGTTGCAGCTATTGTGCCCTGGAACTATCCATTCTTCTTATCGGTTCTGAAACTTGCACCAGCATTGGCTGCTGGTTGTACGATCGTCTTGAAACCAGCTGAACAAACGCCGCTGTCGGGTATTTATATAGGAAATTTGATTCATGAAGCTGGTGAGCTAATTCCCACACCCGTCTGATGGGGAGAGATGACATTTGCGCAATATCTATCTACTTGCGATCTAACAAACGCCAATTTTGGGGTTCCTGGTTTACTGAACCAAAGTGTTTGGCTGTGCTTACAAATGACACGGTTGCTTCCATTTTATTTTGTTCTAGATTGTTCAGTGATTAGGTTTCTTCTCGGACAACGGTCACGTTGAAAATAGTTGCATCACAGATAAGGTCAATGCGCTGGTAGAATAGCTTGAATTCAGTTACTTCATTTGGTCCACATGCGTTCGAGACCCGGGGTTAGGATTCCTGACATATTTGAAGTTCATGCCCATTTCGGAACTTTGTTTACACTCACTGCATAACACACCCACTAAAATGAGAATTGGAGTATCAGATACATGTGCTGTCGACCAACGTAACACTGCATCATTTAGCGCAGTATTTACACGAGTGGCCTCCGCAGGGACGTCATTTTCCTGTTTAGGCTGGCGAACAGCGAATTGGGACAAAGTGGCAGCAACAAACAACGTAATACAAAGATCCAACCTCGAGTTCCCAGTTCACAAATGTTCCCCCACACTCTCGACAGAACGTGAGCAAACAGCAAAACAACTTGCACAAACCGCAATGAAGACGGTGACTCCAATTAAGTTATGACAGGTTACTGGAATACAACTGAAGTCTTATGAGTGAATGGCTTTCTGCTGGGAACGACATTCGACAATAACGGTTTGTTTCGGGCGATCCTATGGGGAAGCTGTACATCAGTAACCACATCATGCTGATTATATTTGCACATTTTCGCTACATCAACTGCAGCCTTCAATTACACAAAAGCACTCGCGATTTGCAAGAGTGACTGACCGAATTCGGATGAGACCAAGTCATCCGATCAGGACTTTTGTAGGACTTTTCGTCCTATCTGGAAATGTGACAGCCTTTGTGGTAGCTTAATGCATTGGCATAAATCAGCGGTCCGCTTTGAGTGTCAACTGTTCCCATTAACGTGTGCAGGAAGTACACACTCTTTGGACGAGGTGCACCGGGACGTCGAAATTCGGGAAGAGTGTTGGTTTTTAGTTGATGAATAGGCATGATAAGCGGCTTATTATTAGGTAAAGCGAAAGTTGGCTTATTGCCGTTCAGTTCATGCGACTTCCAGTAGGATTGTTCGTGGTAATCCTTTTTCTTGCTTCAGGGTTCCCTCCTGGCGTGGTAAATATCATCCCTGGCTACGGAGAGGCAGCGGGGGCTGCGCTTTCTCAACATCCGGACCTACGAGTGATTTCCTTCACAGGAAGCACAGAGGTTGGACAATTGTTCATGAAGGCAGCAGCGACAAATATAAAGTAGGTTATGCTGGAATTAGGTGGCAAATCGCCCTTCATCATATTCGCCGATGCGGACCGTAAGTTTTCTTGGTTGTTCCCCCTCGGATTGTACTCTACCTTATCCTCAATTTTGTATCAGTATCCTTTATCTGAATTAAATGGCTGTTGAAATGTAGCGCCCACCGGGTTCCTAGCATTTCCTTTCAAAGCTGTACACAACTACTTTCCATTGTGCACTGGTTGACTACTGGCTAGAATGGTGTTTGTTCGGAAGGGCCAAGAGGCTAATCACTTCCCCCCCCCCCTGGGAACAGGATTACATCCGCGTCATTGCCGTTTTTTGTAGCCTCATCTTCAAGGAGAGGAGAGAGGGCCACTCGTATGCGACTAACTTTTACTGCGTCTAAGTCTCAAGAATAAGCGCACTCAGATAGGCGTACAAAGACAGCCTAACCACAAACCAAATGAGCTGATCGACACAGCAAACAAATCAGTTATATCACAAAAGTACAAGATTATTCATAATACTTGTGCGCATTTTCAACTTTTTCTTATGGAACTTAGCGGAGAAGGTCACGAAATTTTTATGTTTAAGGCAGTTTGATGGGCTTTCTTTGGTTCACTTGGTGTTTCTTCATCTTCGTCAAATTGGCTTCAGCGTTTACACCAATAAGTTAGGCGTGCCACCTTGAAATCTCCAGGGAGTTCAGGTCGACTAAGACATATGAATCGCTTTTTCCGGGAAGCTCTGAACAGGAATCCAATAGTCTTGATGTTAAGGTGACTGTTCACTTGTTCACTTGTTTATCCAGGAGACGCCTGGGTCGTCTACGCCTACAACAGATCTCTGTGGTTTATTACGGCTAACGAGGAGAAAGTTCGTAGCTCAGGTGGCGTAGATGGTTGCAGGTTCGCTCGCTTAAAAATGTTCATCATCAGTATTACGGCTAACGAGGAGAAAGTTCGTAGCTCAGGTGGCGTAGATGGTTGCAGGTTCGCTCGCTTAAAAATGTTTCATCATCAGTTGAGGTGATATCATCGGTGCATTGTCAGAGGGATGAGTGAAGAGTAGCGACGGCTCACTGGGTCAGCACAAACACTGACCGATCGCTGCGCTCCACCTCGACCCTTGACACAAACCGATGATGTCAGCTCAATTGGTGCTGAAAATTTTGAAATCAAATTACCCAGCTGAGCGAAAAAACCAGCGACCAGTATTACAGCTAAGCTTAGTTTGCTTGAGTACACTACCATGACTACAACGGAAGCCTATGCAGGAGTGCTCGTTCAAATGAAACAATTGGCGGAATGGGAACGGGGTCCGCAAGACTGATTGTTGTTAGGACTGATTGTCTTGGGAAACGAAACTTCCTTTTACCTGCTGACAAAGTCCTGTCTGCTACCTTCTTGGAGAGAGTGCACGAGTTTCACACGGCTACAGGTGAGAGTCGACTCTAGACTCATTTGAAAATGATGTCCTGTTGATAAGGCGCCCATTTTCTCGAAGTTTCAATGTTGAATTGGCTGGGTTGGATAACAGACATTCATACCACTACGATGGGTTCTACTAAACGGCGCAAACAGTTTGATACTTTCGCTGTGTCCCTGAATATGTCCCTTCAGGCAGTATTAAGGTGTGTGTGGAAAGCATGCCAGCCACCATATTCAATCAAGACATTCGTGATGCGGTCATGTTTTGTTATATCACCGCACAGTTTCTGCCACAGAGGTGATCGCAAGTAACGACGCAGTTTTAACGTTTTTGTGGTGTTACCAAACCACTTGACTGATCTGAATGAAATTTGAGCTGCGGAGACTGGATATTGTGGGAGGAACTGCCGTGTTCGAACAGATCGATGTGTGAAGGAAACTCTCCAAGTTTAACCGCAGATTAGAAAAAACAGGAACTTTTATGGAAAGTGAGTGTTTTGGTGTCTCTAGCTGAGCTAACGATGTGCAACTAACCGGTGTCTTTATCAATAGCTGAAATCTTGTTGTTGACACCAACTTTTCACCGAACCGAATGTGTGAGTTACCAGAATGATTGTCCCTAGTTTAGTAGAAGCTAGAACTATGAATGCGCAGTCACGTTTAGCAAATACATAAAGGGCCTACAATTGATCTATTAGCTGTGTAGTTGTGGAATGTAGAGTGCACGTTCACATCACGTTTGAACAATTGTCCTGCTCCGGCGTGAGTCCACACCAAAGGGGGGAACCACTGGACTCTAGCTTCGTTCTTATTACAGCTCATCATCAGTGCATATCACTGAATGTATCGGAGTTCGAACTCCGCTCATCTGACGTGCGAGGCGAGCGTGTTACAACTCCACCGGCGCACCCTGGATGCATCTAAATCATATCTGAACAGATGAACAAATTCACGCCTGAGTGATGTTATTGGTAGACATGATCGACTGGTCCACCTATCAGGACCCCTTAGTGCCACAGACGCATGTAACCAGCTGGACAAGTTATTGATCTTCGCAGTCTGTGTGCGCTTTGGTACAACTAATTGTGTAGGTCATATGAATGTGCTCCTGACAGTTGAAGAACACGGGTCGTCGAGACGAGACAAAGACAGATTCAGGGGAATCCGAGATCTCTGGCCCAGTAGCTTTGGACAACTAGATGTGTGGTCACTTCACCGATAACTAATCACACTTGTGCTACTCTGATACCGTGGACTAGTGTCGTGAACGTGTCCTAATCATGCTTATGGTCGGCAAAGGTCACGTGTTTTGTCATAAGGCCGCTCTAGGTTGGTAGGGTAACAGCCACGTGAATTAGCCTCCATAGAAGGAGGCTAATCAGTTTATTTAAAGGGAAATAACACGCCCGAGTGTCCATAACTGGACCTGAGAATCCAACCAATTCCGATTCTGTGTTCTGCAGCCAAGGGTCATCACTAAACGGAACTCTATCGCAGTTCAGAGGACGTAGGGGCATATATCGGCGACACGACGGATGGCAAGAGTACATTACACACACCGCAATCGTGGTGGCGAGGTGGCTGGGAACCCCAACCGTATTTAAGCCGATTTCTGAGACGGACAATCTTTTCATTATGATATTGTCGCTTTCGTTTCCTTCCTTACCGGGTCAAACTATTGACCGTGATCACTGCTCCCTGATTTTTAAGGCATGAAAATCATAATCGAATTTCAGGTCCGGCTGACTGAGTGAAAAATTTAAGGTGTGCCATCCTATCTCAGGGCTAGTTCTACCCGATAGTATGGATCCCCTATATCAACAGTGATTAAGATGGACATCATATTATTTGCTCATGTTCATGAAAACTCCAATAAGTAACTAAAGGAGTATCACAGAAACCCTGCCTTTCTTGGGGGACGGATTATATGCTTAGCTGCCTTGATCCATCCACTGTAATTAAAACCGAATCTAACAGACTTGTCAGGTCACTGTGCAGGAGTTGATTTTCCGTTATTCCCTTTTTTCATGGTTCAAGAAACTGTAGCAGCTTGAATATGGACACAGGGTTCATAACTAAAAAACAGACGAATTTATTTGAACTAGGCCTTTGCACGGCATGGGCGGCACACATTATTGCAACTAACCTCACGACTCTATGGACGTAATACACTACTCATAAGGTTGCTGAAAACTCTTTGGCAGCTCACCGTCGAATGGATCACGACGAGGAATTAATACACATCACGGCAGTGGAAACTTGAAGTGATGAGGTAGTTGCCCTTGCAGCTTTTTGTCGTAGCGTGAACCGTTGGAAAATTATGCTTCTTTGTCCCTTTGTCCCTGAGTTTTGCTGAACGACTGGGCGTTTTGATTTAGTAGTTCAAGTGTCAAGAAACAAGTGTAAGAAAAGAACGTGAATTGTAAAGGAGACATTCGGGCTATCCCACGGAACTGATGGTTCACACTGTCATTCTTGTTTTACTTCTCAGTTGATAAAGCCGCTACCATCGCTCATGAAGCCACAATGATCAATAATGATCAGTGCTGCGTCGCCTGTACGCGTATCTTCATTGAAGCCCCAATCTATGAAAAGATGGTACACAAGCTGAAGGAACTCGCTGAAGCACGGAAAGTTGGTGATCCTTTTTCTCCTGATACCGTCCAAGGACCACAGACAATCGTGTTCCGTTTACAGCGTTATCCGTTATTGTGATTTAGTACTGCAGAGCCATTGGTTTAGTTATTGGCTGACTTGGAGCACTAGACACCTGTACATTGTTGCCTTACCGTAGGTGGAACCAGATAGGGTGTCTTGCGTAAACCGCTAAAGCAAACATCAAATCTAATCAGCGAATGTGCTGAACAGAACTGTTCGGCCGAGGAGGATGGCTGCAAACACCTGCTATAATGCGTCTTTGAAGGAGATTCCTTGGTGAGCTGTGACCGTGTTACAGCAAATTCTTGACGAACCCAAATCTTACTTGGGAGATCTTTGGTTAATCTTATTTTCACCTATTTTTAAGCAATCTCAGAAGTCGCATTGCGGATTGTGGATCTTAGTCCTGACTACTCTGCTAAAATGAAACTTAAAACTCACGTGTATTACATTGAAACCATTTGGTAGCTTCACAGTGATCAAACTGATCAGTGAATTTCCTACTCTCACAATGAGGATTTTAATACTATATGCTTTGCATTTCCATACATGACTAGAATGGGACCGAAAAGATTGGCCATTGATACTCTTGGATGGAATTCTTTTGCTTTGATTCCACAGATCGACGAAGTCGATCAGGCAAGAATCAAGGAGCACGCCTCGTTACTGGTGACTGCCGTCTAGGCAACAAAGGATACTACATTCAACCCACTGTGTTCGCTGACGTGACAGATGAGATGGTGATTGCAAAAGAAGAAATTTTTGGCCCGGTTCATTCAATTTTGAAATTTGAAACGATAGATGAATTCATTGAACGAGCTAATAGTGGGATTTATGGGCTAGGCGCTGGCGTGTACACATCGGATATGGACAAGGCAATGCGCGTGGCTCAGGCTTGTGAAACTGGCAGCTTTTGGTGAGTCAGCTGACGGTTTTGCTAACTCGACGTGGTTAAGCATTTCCAAACGTTCTCGTTTGTTAACTACTCATTCAGCACTTAGGATACTACTGAGACAAGTAATATCCAAACTGTGATCACAACCAACGTATTTTTGGAATCTGGGGAGGCTTACTCATCTTAAATGGATAATAGTCAGGAGCGGAACCTCTGGGTCCACGTATCCCAAAGCTAGGCAAGTTTCTATAGTGAATGGGTGACTCCATGATGATACGATAGCGGTTTTAAAGCGAAAGTTGGTGAGTGGCTGAAAAAATACGATACAGATACAATCGAGGTGAGAAACTTCTATGAACGATTCAGTCATCAGGGGATATTGTAATACTATGTACTACAAGTGGATTAAGAGCTCAGTGTTTCTGGATACGGTCCAGCAGCAGTATGCAGGGTAGTAACGGCTAACCGAACGTCCTCAAGTGTGTCGGTAACTTAGCTGTTCATTTTGCACAGGCATTTCGCACGGAGATGGAATAGACTGTTTTCGCACCCAAGAATCAGATTAAAAAATTGCTTAACGATCACCCACCTGAGGCTTGACTCTCTGGCTCCCCAGTGGCGCGGGACTTCAGGTGATCACGTGAGATCGCCAGTGGGACCGCTCCGCGCGAAATTACTGACGTCTCGGTGACAGTTTTCGGAGCTGGGCTACTTTTGAGACGCCATAAGTAAATAAAGCGGATATGGCCGTCGCAGACAAGTAGGCTCAGACTCTGTAGCAAGATAAAATCCTGGAGAACCGGTGGGTCCGCTATTTCGGTGGGTGATGAGTCTGTGAACAACAAAACAGTCTGTGTTTATAAACGCATGAATAATAGGAAAGAACGGAGTGAACATTTCTATTTGAGAACGGGCTTTTCACTGGACAGATAACGGATAGCTGATGTGACGGACGGACATGAAGAAATTACGGCGAGAAAAGGTCGTAAAATACCGAAACATGCTGGATAGAAGGGTTAGATCCATAGATGTGATGTATTGTAGTTCATACGAACGCAGCTCAAGACCGGCCGCAAATTCCAGTTGTTTGCACCAACTGGGTAAGCGGCTCCGAATCGCCATGCCTTCAGCAAAGAGAGATATTCATCTGCGTTCCAGGTGAGTCTCTCGCAAAACCGAATTTGTTTGCAAATGAGTGTATTTCGGTAATAGACGGTTATTTTTCGGACAGTTGATGAATGAATGGCTGTCTCGGCTCTCTGCACTCTTTTCAATCCGGCAAGTGGCGAGTGATTGCACTGGACGGTACTTCCAAGCCATCACATGCTTAGTTCTCTAGGAATCGCTCAAAAATCCTTGTAGCTAACCGGCTGTCGGTTCTTACGACGTACTGGCTACCACAAGTACATTGATAAAAGTACGTGCAGTGGGAGATAAGCAAAGACTCTGGTTTGTTTAGAATGTTTTCAATAAACACTCATTGTGTTTTTTGGGTACTACTAAAGTTGCAGAGCTGGATGCTCTTATGAGAGTTTAACTTACTCGTTCCACACACATCTATCCTTCTGATCCTGTCTGAGCGCGCAATGTGATTGCAATGCCGGTTCGCTTCCCAAACCCATTGAGCCAATTAGAAGAAAAATAGTCACATACTGTTTAAAGGATTCCTTTTAGTTCGCTGATATGATTACAAATTTAAGTTTCTCCCGGAAACATACGATGTCACACGGTGTGTCCCCTTGTTACAAAAGCTCTTTTGAGGAGACAGTTGATGTGATACGCATGCATGTCATTGAACTGAATACCCCTACTCATCGACTCCAATCCTTAATTCTTTTTTTTATGCAGTACTTTTTCATAAAGGAGACTACTCACAAAGTTGCTGAAAACTCCTCGACAGCCCGCGACCGGTTTCGCCCTTCTTGGGGCTCATCAGGTAGACGCAGTCCCCGATTATCGTACCAACTGGAACATGAAGCGGCTTTGTGCAGCACTTTCAGTCAAAGAATATCATAAACGAGAGTTTGAGTAGAATCTTCCCTGAAAACCCATTTGATATGCAACTGAGTATATTTGTCGAAAAAATATGGAGTACTGTTTTAACAGTAGGCACTACCAGCAAATTGATGGAATGACAGTAAGAAGTCCTCTTGGACTACTAGGTTTATCTAATATTTTTGTGGGTCTCCTGGACCATACCATATTCGGTCAATTTGTATAGAAGGAGTGCGTCTGTTGCCGATACTTTCGTTGTACCGGACAGCAGTTTGGATGTGCGATGAATGTTATACTACTTGAATCATGGTCAAGCAGAAATTGCTCGAACGAAATTTACCGACCCTATTTCTTTCCGCGGTTAGTCCACACGCCATTTTAGTGTTTACTCTTCTTGTCCTGATCGGGGTAACAGTTGCGATAGATCTACACACATAGTAAACAAATGGTGACTGTTTTTGGAGTTCGAACTCAACTTTCAGTCGACGATTTTTCCATTCCATTCATTTCAGGATCAACTGCTATAAAGTGGAGTCTCCGCAGACTCCTTTTGGAGGCTATAAAATGTCTGGCATCGGGAAAGAAATGTAGGTCTTTGACTATTGTTCATTTCGATATCCTCGAGCTCCAATGCTATCTTACTCTGTAGCAAGAATTTTTTGGATGTTGGAATGTTTTGATGTAGCACACAAACTTGCAAATCAAGGGAACTCAACGGTTCTCATCATTTATGAGCTGGTGACTGTTCCCGATATCTTATTTTTAGTTACGCACTGACAGATTTATGTGGAGTGGCCGGTTTCCTATTGTAAATAAGTAAACAAACACCTGTGGCAAGATTACATGAACACATTCCTACTGTTCTCGAAAACATATGTGGTATAGCCTTGACCACTGCTGAATTCCCAGAAGTGTGCATCCTTTTCCAGTGAAGGTTAACGATGGCGACTGATTCAACCATAGTTTTGTATGTCCTACTACAGCTACAAAGTATATGTGAGGAGGCCGCTGAAGGCTTTCTATGATATGATTTCCGCAGAACAGAAACGACAATACTGTGGCATCGGGGATGGAAGAAGTCGTCCTGTTTTGGTTCTTTCAGGGACTCTAAACTTCCCAGTGTTGTCTTGCCTTTCAGAAAGTTGGTTGGCAGATGTCCACTCGGAATTCTCACCAAATAGGTTTGTTGGCATATGTCATATGATATTCAGTGCCCCAGATATCCGAAATAGCGATATGTGGCTTATGTCCATTATCCAAGAGCACATTGGGTGGTCATTCAGTATAGGAACTGAAACCTCTTTTCCAATCAAACGGGATAATCAGAGATTAAGTCTTTCGTGTTATCGTTGTTGAAACCGCCAACATTCTCCATCTGATAGCTCCTTCGGTGACCACTCTGTCTGCCTGGTTGTCATACTGTTTGAGTGCTCTTTCCATGTTACACGACCTCCTCTCCAGTACGACCGAAATCGTTTGATTCTAATTATGAACTACTCAATGCACAAAGCGGTTTGAATGATACTAGGAGGCTTTGAATTTCAAGTACTTTTATCACTTCAAATAAACTAAGATTTAGTGAAGACCAATCCTCTGTAGGCTAGTTGCACCCCATTCGAAGCATGACAGACAAAAATTAGTTTGATGCAATTGTGAAATTTCGTGCAAAACGGTTTAACATAAATTTCGCAAAACAATTCCGCTCAGATGTGCATGTACTAATAATTTATCGGGCTGTAAAGTGAACCAAATTCACATAAACTCCTGTCTAGTAGAGAAGTTCAGTTAGTCCGAAAAATCAATTAATTTTTAGCAAGAAAGCAGCGCTGTGGACAAACCGGACGCCGCAACTTGCGCACATCTGAAAACAACTGTATGACAGTCAATTACTGACTTGACTGGTGGCCATAAACGAGTTCAGTTAGCTGCACCAAGCTCATTGTTACTGTAATTGCGCCACTCGTACGGCCTCATTGTCTGCACCCGGTCTCCTAGTACCAGAGAGAACCAGCTCATCTTGCGTGCTCGATACTGTCACAAGTGTCATTATCGTATTCGGTGTCACAATCTCCAGCCCCTGGGGGGTGGGCGCACCGGTCGTGTTAGTTGTGTCTAGTTCAGTACAGTGGGGGAGGCCGTCGAGCACTGTTCGGGTTTCCCAAGCCGGTAGGTAGCTGCCATGCGATCCAGAGCACATGCGGTATTGCTCCGCCAAAGTTCGAAAACCGTTGCCATAGTGAGCCTGGCTCAGCCAACTGACCTCGGCTGGTTCATGTGCTCTGGTGGAACTAATCAAATTTTGACTCTAGGCCATCAATTTCACGACTTGTTCTCCTCCGTTTACTTTCGGGCTAAAAACGGAATTTTCTGTCGGCCGTACAGAGCTTGTAACTTGTCTTTGGAATGTAGCTAATCTACTTCGATGTTTGTATCATGAGGATAACTCAAGAAGACGAGGTATTTTCTTTTTGTGATAAATTTCCAGTACATCCCCTTGTCTGGTCAGTCATTTTGATTGGGCCACGAGAACAGCGTCCATTGCAATTTGAGTAACTGACCAATCTTTTAGGGGTGGGGCAGATACCAAACGAATCAATGTACAGAGCCGCATTCGGCTCACACCCAACCAGTAGTGTTGTGTTGTGCGCCGGGGACTTAATCAAAGTGTGTCCGGCATCAGAGGCCTCGAGAATGCGTGTGCCGAATCATCGTTTGCCGAAGGCTGCTGTTTTCCATGCCTAGTTTACAGTGACACAAGCAGAGGAGTAGTCAACCTTTGACCTGAAAGAGCGTATGAAAGCGATAACTGAAAATTCGTGTACTTTATGCGTGACTCGCCTTCCAGGATGGGGTTTGCGTGCATGGTTGGACCTGCTGCAAGATACATCTGCCATTCGACGTCATTGGCCTTGTTATCAGTTTCCCTCCACTGTATGGAGGTGTAGGCGCGTCCGAACGATTGGGGTAGACTAGCATTAAGTCCCTTCTTCACCCGCCTTTATTTTTTCTTCCAAATAATGGTTTCAAATTAAGTGTGGTCGTATGTCAGTTAAGCATCAGTGCTGTTAATGACGACGATGATGATGGATGTTGACAGGTGGTATCCGAAGCCTATTGCCCTGAGCAGCAGTGGTCAATAGAGTAAACCGACGTATTTCGAATGAACCTCCGAAAACTCATCTGAGTTAGCAAAAAGCAAACCTCACACCAACCGGACGACATTCGTTTTCGTTCCCTTGTTGCAACTATCATGCCACTGAGTTCTGGTGGGGCCTTTGATATTGACTTTCGCGACTCATATTGTGATGATTTTCAGCTGAGTTCAGACTGTTTTAACCGGCCCATCTGTTTCATTCGCTTGGGTGAATTTCACCTCGTAGTTTACGTGAACAGAGACCTACATTTATTGCAAGTTGTGGGCTAACAGCAATCCTCAAAGGCATGCACCATGTTTACTTTGCCGTGAACCAATAGACTGTCTCAGTCCAAATGCAAAGCAAATTGGTGGTAGAAGGTGTGAACTCTTACTTGTCCCACAGGTTTTGCTCCCTCCTAAAGCGTCTCCAATACAAGCACACCGGGCAGCAGTTCAGCTGGAAGGTCAGAGAAATCTGGCTTCGTCAGTTAACAAGCGACAAGTGATTTCATTTTGAAAGGCGATCAGTGTTAAAACAGGTAGTCTCACGTGGTAACGACAGTTGATCGCCCTCGTAATTAACACGCGGATGCTCATGTGCATGCCTATGGATATGTGGCAGGATGTATCGGGTATTTGGATCGCCACCCCCCCCCCGACTGTTTGCGCAAATCGCAAACACAGTTCCAAAAGTTGTCCCACGGGTTCCTGGTTTGCTAAGTCGGTAGGCAGCCGAAGCATGCGCATTCCGACTGCTTGACTCACCGACATTGTGCCCCCACCCTCCACCCACCAACACACAATCTCGCAGCCTCATCCAGCCGAAACCAATAAAGCTGTGATTACATGAAACGAGTTTTCAGAAACACTGTCGCATGACAGCGACTGCGGTTTGCCATGGGGCTGGATCTGAAAAACACTAATGTCTGAGGACAGGCCACTAGTTCCTAGGCCAACCGAAATAAATTGTCCCCCGATGAACAACACAAGACACATCCGAAATTACGGGTATAAAGTGAATGGATGTCAGAAGTATACCGCAAGAGAATACGATTATAACTAGGATGCAACCCCGCACAAGATACAGAAACATCAGGAAAAGCGGTCCCACACATGCAACAATCGTCAGTAAAGTGAACCGAGTTTGTCGAACCATCTGTCTTGCTAGAAGGATAGCAGCTACATCGTGGCTGAGCGGTCTTTGTCTGGACACTGTCGTAGTGAAGTTGTCCCGTGTATTTCAATGGGAAAACATTCAGACTCGTATTAGGTAGCGAGCTTTAGACGGAGATAACTTACTGGGGTGTCTGTATCAGTCACTGCAGTCAAGTGATAGCGGTGTATGCAACCAGGTCCTATTCTCTTTAAAGCCACTTGAGTCGACTTATATACATGGGTTCACAGATATAGGCCTTAAACTCTTCGGATTTCTCTTATTTGCATGGTAAGAGAGATTCCGAACAGTTTGTTCTTAGAATTCAACACATCAGAAATCAGAGTGGAGAACGATTTCTCTTAGTACAGTGGACGATGCCTTCATAACTATGAAAAACTGGATTCTATATTTGACGATCAACAGAGAAAGTTTCTGAATTTGTCAAAAACTATCGTCCATCTACACATCTATTTATGTCTATCTGATAAGAATCATACTCGGAAATATATTCCACGGTTAGTGGCTTCATTACCTGCGAGCAGCTGATTTTTACTATCAAATGCAATCTAGGCCGTTGCCTTGATATCGATTTTTCCTTATCCCTTTTCCTATCCTCTGCGAACAAAACTGCGATGGTTATATCCTACGTATATTTGAAGCGTGATTCGTCACTAACAAACCGAACTAAACTGAGCGGTATTTTCGACAGATCTCGTCCGTTCCACATGCCACATATGTGGTTTGCGACTCCATATTTTATACCCAATCTGAAAGGTTTATGTAGAATGATCTGGACACTTACGCCTGGGAAGCTACCGAGTTCTTGTTAGCGAACAGATTCTTATGAACTACTGATTGATGTCTTCAACAAGTCATTCAAACTTGTTCAAAACTTGTACTCATCATACTCACCCACCGTTTATTCATTTCTTCAGGGGCAAACGAGGCCTCGACTGCTACCTTCAGACCAAGCTGATCTCACTGCCCGTCTCCGTTAAAAATTCGTAATTCTTCTGCTTCTCACTCATGCTTCAAATAAAATGATCCATCCTCTGCTCGTTGTTTGGCATGTCTCTCATGGGGTGGGATACTGAACACTAGCATGGTTCACGAAGACCATTCAAAGTCCCATTTAAGCGCCATATGAATATTTACGGAGAGCGGTTCCAACGTGTATCAAAGTCATTTTAAAGTGTTCCTATAGCAGTTTCATCGTCTCTGAATAGAGAATTAAGAGTATCCTTAGGGACTGAAACTCCTTGCTCGTGTACAACACCATTCAACTATTTCGGAATTAC